TTCGAAACAAACAGAACGAAACATCAGGCGAGAGAGGGCGTGGTCTGCACTCCACCTTGCAGCCCCCCGCCTCCCGCCTACAAAAGTTGCCTAGAAGAAAGTTTCCTACGGGTCAATCGCCAGCGCGAGTGCTGTGTCATGTCACGCAACCATGCTGCAACTGTCGTCTCCCCTGATGCAACGGAGCAGACCTTCCATACTCAGGCGGCCTTTGCCTAAAGGTGGGCAAGGCAAGGCAGACGACCGGCCGGTTGTGGCACCCACACCCACACACACATCTAACTCGGGCGAGCGAGGAACCAGAGGAAGAAGGAGGAGGAAAAAGAACAGCAACTCAGCCAGCCAGCTATTCAGCTCAGCCCACCGCCCCCCAGTCCGTGCCCGCCCAAGTGCCGGCCTCTCGATTTCTGCGGTGTAGGAACCAGTTCCATATCACGATCTTCATCCGGGACCTTCCCCCCCGCCTACGGCCCTTGTCACGACTGCCGGAGCGACCACTCTCGTCAGCGGCTGAGCGGCCTCCCAAGTAACACACCTAACATGTCGCGCCCAGAGCATGAACAGGACACAAAGCGCTCGGTTCCTTGAAACATGACATCGCCGAGGAGGCAACGGCTCGTCGGGCGTGAGATGGCAAAGTGACAAGTGAAGCAACAGATGAGAGGCCCCCCAAAAAGAGGAGACTGCGAACAGCCCAGACCACGAAAAAGTTCTTTTTTCGTTCCTTCCAACCTCACTAGAGGGGGCAATCATTTCCCGCAGAAGAGCTACCTGGCTAGCAGGGCTAGCTTTTGAGCCGCGGGGAGAGTGGGGAGAGGAACATCAGCTTCGAGTGAAACAAGCGCCATCGTGCCAAGTAGGACGCATCTGTTGGGCATGACTGGTCACATGAGGCCGTAGTATGGCGTCTTTTCATTCCTAAGTGCCGAGATGATTGCCCCATTTCAATCGATCAGTGGGTTGCAAAGTCACCACGAGGGCCAAAAGTGTTGAAGTTGTTCATTGTCTATCAATTCAGTCTACGAAGCCCGGGTTCCCACCAAATTGCTGTCGTGCCCACTCACTCAAACCTGGAGGATGCCTTCGACAGATCTGTATACACTGCAAAAGCGACGAACCAGGACGTTCCATAAGACACCCAACTGATACCCTGAGCTAAGCTCTTTCCTCTCTCAGAGCCGTCAACGTTTGAGGGGGAATAGTCGAGTGCGAAGTGTCAAAAGCCCAAAAATCCCAAGACGAACGTATGATGCGTATCTGGTGACGGCAGCTAACAGCCACCACCAGGGCATGTAGTGTAAAAAGGTTGAAAAATTTCGTCACCCATGTAGATATCTCCCCTGACATCCCATCTTGCCTGTAGTCGCCTTCCTTCTCTTCATTTTCCATGGCAGGATTGTCCTTTTGTCTAATAAGTACGGACACTGCATTAGTTGACAAATGAGAATTGTGAACACAAAGAATCCAATGGAGAACGCCGCCGAATGAAGCCGTCCCCGCCAAGCCCCAGTTGCCCATACCAAAGGGCACTTCCGTAATATGTACAATCGAGTGTCGACTATTGCCGGGTATCAAGGGAAAAAGAAACTAGAGCAAAATGATGAAATGGAGCGCAAGTCGGGACCATACTGTTGTCGTCCGATTCGCAAATTTCGTTTCTGTCGAATGAGAATGTTGCTCGTCAAGCCGAGATGAGATGTGGTTTCAGTGTGGACATAGAGAATCGATGCCAAATTCGCTAAATTATCATGAAAAAAGGGGCCCAGATCATGGGCGTTGCGGGCTCTTGGGGCGAATTTGTCGAGCCTCTAGTTGCCGTTTCCGCTCGAGCTTGGCATAGTGAAGGCCACAAGCGTTGCAAAGCGTCCTAGCGCCATCAGGCCCTCGCCGCCATTCAGGAGTATCGATCCTGTTGCAACTGTGGCATCGGCCAGGTGGCGCCGCGCGCTGTTCGCAACGTCAGTTCAAGCTCTCTCAATATTCGCACAAGGTTCTTGTCAACTCACCCCCCGGCGCTTCTTCACCTCCCCGATGCCATAGTTTTGTTTTGCGCTGTCATACATGTGGCTGTCTTCGTCTTCGTAGCTTTTTGCCTTGCCGGCGGCACTCGCACGTTCGTTTGCCTCCTGAACTGTTTGTCGGACGGCTTCCAGCGAAGATCGCATGTAGTTGGCGTTGCTAATCATGTCGGCTACCTCGCGTTCGGTGGGGAGCCGTTCAGGGATTGGATACACTCCATGTTGTTCGGCCGCAATCCTCACGTAAGCTTCGGCAAAGTTGGCAATGGTTCTAGACGAGTGCGAGATCTAACCTTGGGTCAGTAACAAGCCAGGCCTTAGGCGTGTCAGCGGCGTTCAACTTACGCGTTGTAGATACTCGTGATAAGTGTATGCATCCAGAGCCCGATGAACCGGACGGTCGTACTGAATTCTGGCGGGGGCGTAGTCGCCATCTTCGGGGTGAACACCGGGACGCTGAGACTCATAGGGCGAGGGAAGAGCAGAGCTGTGTCGCGGTGAAACAGGGTAGGCCGGCAAAGGAACTTGTCCAGGAGGAAGTTGTGCTTGATGAGGCTGAGGGTATATAGGTGGAGGATGCTGTTGCGGGGCGGCATGCTGCGGAGGGTGCTGGTAAACGCCGTTCGTCTCGTTGTTCTTTGGCTCAGGCTCGCGACCGTGGTCGGGCTTGATGGGTGGACTGGGTTGGCTTGTCGCATACGAGCTCAGTGGTGGTGGTGGTGGCTTCCGGCAAAAGGCGGCGGCCGTGGGTGATCGGCTGAGAAAGGCGGCAAAGCGTTCTCGCTCCTAGGTGTAAATGATGGAGGGTGAAGTGCTCTGGGCGACTGCCGTTCAGATGGGGGCTCTGGGAAGTGTCTCGAGGGCCCAGAGCCGAATGGTGACGGAAAACTGTGTGAGGATCCTGTCATACCGGGAGGTTGAGTGGGCGGGAAAGGACTTGCTTTGCGCCCGAGATGACTTCTGAGAGAGACGGGAGTGATTGTCGATGCGCAGTGTCCTTTTCGTCGATGGACGGCGTGGCTCGACTGGCGAAATCATGCCGGCGATGCTGGGTCCAGGCGCCGCTGAATGATTGCTGGCCGGATATGAAGGTGGGAGAGCGTGATAGGGGTGCGACGGGTTGATGAGGGCTGCGGTCGCACATAGCAGGCTGTGCTGTCGCGATAATGTCTGTCGATGGGCTCTGAA